TCATGCTACATCCGGATCCATAAACTATTATCAGATAATCGTATAGTAAAGATGTCCTTATATGGTTAAAACAGTAATTGAGTATGTTCTCTCAAATTTCGGATACATAATTTTTCTTATATTCGTTTCAAATGACTCGCGTTACTTCTTTTTACTAATATTACACTACGCCAAAGGTGTAAATAGACATAATTACAGAAAGTTTGTTCTTGTTTTACAAGTCTATGGTTTCTGTCAGATAATACATCTGACTTTTGTTATTAAGGCTAAGGTTATCAGGTTTTTTGATAGTATATCTGTGCATAATTTCATATCTTAAATGAACTCACCACAGCCTCTTGATATTTGGAAAAATTTGAACATGTGGTCCCATACTTCATGCAAGATCTCTCCAGATATTAATGACAGTATAATTTATCCTATGTTAAAGATTACCATTGTCTGTATATATGTATATATGTTTCATTTTATTACAAATATAGATATTATTAATTTTGTTTGTGTTTGTTGAAGATGCAATTTTACATGCAATCAACAGACTGCTTCTCTTGAGGAGTCTGAAAAAAGTAATTTTTATTTCCAGGCGTCATTGAGATTTTATCTTGGAATTGTCCAATTTACCCTATTGACATAGTTCCTCCACTGACAGCCTCAAATTCTTAGCGGATAAACATTTCATTTCAATAGTACAAAACTGATATTGCGATGGTAATATTACCAAACATATAAAGAATCAATAACTAAAATTACAATTTTGAAAATTACATAATGTAATTTTACATCATAACTTTAATTTCATCGTATAACGCAGAATTATTTTCTAAGTAGCCTCACAAATATATACTAAAATATGAAAAACAAGATCAACAAGTGCAATAAACGCAACCCCAACACAGCTCAGCAACAAGAACCAATGGCAAGGAGCCCAGACGGACCCCCCCCCCAAAAAAAAAAAAAATTAAAAAAAAAAAAAAAAAATAATTATTATTATAATAAATTATATGTATGAAGTTTTATATAAAAAGGAAAATGGCTTTACCACTCGTTTAAACAACTTTAGCAAGTATGTTAAATTTATCAACATAATAATATTTTCAAAAAAGGGATTTATGGCAGTTTCAAAAGAATAACCGTAGTCTACGTAATGTTATTTGTATCATTAATATTTAAACATAGCAACGAACACCCTCAAAGAAAATACAAAGCAAAAGTCTGCACCGCACGTAAGGCTTGTCTAAACCACACGCTATAACTTCAAACACCTGTTAATAATAATATACGATTATGGCATAGTGACATTCATCTACAAACAGTAGGGATAAACAATAACTATTAAACAAAGGTCATTAATGTTACATGGTAAAACTAATAAACTAGCTGGGGCGAATAAAGATAAAAGCATTTATCAAGTATGTAAAGACATTTCAAAGGAGTTGAAAACTGGCAGAAGATAAAACATACAAACCTTAACTATGAGTTTTCATTGGGTCACAGCTAAGGATATGGAATCTGAACACGTACCTTGTTAATATTTGTTTTTACTTACATGAAAATTAGACATTTGTCATTACGAAAGTCATTATATATTGATTTAATATTTTTTCGTGCAACAAACTTAAACGCAATTGCTTCTGATGTGTTTTTTTAATAAAAATGAATGCCAAATAAAATATATAAAATATATACAATATTCATAAAATTGTGTAAAACAGAATCTCTAAAGAAAGCCCAACACGGCAAAATTGTAAAATGTTGCAGACTCGGTTGTTCTTTATCTATGTAATATATAATCTTTAAGTGACATTATCCTCATATTTTCATTGTCAAGTTGAGCTGAATTGATTTTATATTTCAAAAGATTGACTGTTTAAATGATGTTTGACCAACAGATTATATTGGAAAATGTTTAGGATAAAATTTAAAATCCGCCTAAAATATAAAAAAAAACTGTCCCACTCATTTTATAGATAAATTCTTAATGATATTTACTGAAATTTCGTTTGAATCCGGTGGTTGTGTATTGTTTATGCGAAGTAAATTATTAATTAAAAAGGAATTATGGCAAAATGAAAATTTATTTTGACTCACCTGTTCACTCATTATTATAAAAGTTAGACTTTGTTGGAAGGACTGTAACTAATTGTAGCCCAACACATTTGCACTACACTTGTATGTACATTTGTGTGTGTTATTCATATCTTACATGTATTTTATAATTGCAATAAAATATAATTAAACTAAATATTTAATCTTACCATTGTTATAACTATAAACGTAAGCTTTCCTGTGACATTTTTGTTGTCATGATATTTAACCAATTATTTATTTTATAGTGCTCTTTCGATCTGAGTATATACATGTATAAGATAATGATGAAAAATGTAAGCATATCTAAGTACTTATATATTGTAAAACACTTATTTTTCGCGAGAACCTTATTTCGCGAATCTGAGGCAAAATGTCTAAAATAATTATTTCGCGTCAACATGAATTCGCGTCTTCCCGAAAAATGTGAAATCGGAAACCCGATGTCATTCGGATATTTTCTGTCCTGTCCGTTCACTTAAACTTTGCGTCGTTTATTGTGCGTCGAATGCATTTATAGCTGTATCGATTTTTCTGATAGCTTGCTAATCTTCTTGTTAAGTGAAACCGTCTGTCTAAAAATATGACAATAAAGTTTGATAATTATTTGATATGTGTTCACTGTGTTAAAGTTTCACTGATTAGCCATTCAAAGGCAAGCAGACGAAAATCAATTAAACGGTACTGTAATTTGCCTAACCTGTAGTAAACGATTATGTTTACCCTCCGGCTTAAACTGTAGTACAATACAATAGGATACAATAAATAGAAATGTTACAAACAACTCGCAGGTGCTAAAGTATTTGTACCAATTAGAACAATCTGTAGAAATACCATTAAAATTTTGTGAGAAGCATTAATATGTTTATACTTAATTCTAGTGCAAGTCACAGTTACCTTCCTTGACACAGGTAATATGCAGCGAAGAATTTTTTTTCCAATTCCTCAATAATACCAAATTGTTACAGGTAAATATTTTATACTAGTAATCTGTACGATATGTATATGCTGCAACACTTGAATAGCTACATGATGTAACTAGAACTGGTTTCGATACTTTCCCGCAGATATATATCCATGTGTACGCATTTTCGGATAATGTTTATTTTCGGACAAGTGTATAGACAAAGTGAAATATTCGCGAGAAATATGAATTCGCGTCTTAGAAAACTCGCGAATATTAGCGAAAATAAATTTCTCGCGAATAATAAGTGTTTTACAGTAATATTTCCAGATATGTCCTTTCGATATCTTGACAATATTAGATTAGAGTGGAAAGAAAGAATATTTGATACCGATTGCTTTGATGATTTTGTTCCTTGTTATTTGTTTATAAGAAAGCACATTCTTGTCATTCGAACTGCATTGCATATATGGCATGTCAAGATTAACATATATGAGTCAAGTACATTCATTTGCAAATACAATGCTTCTTTTATTTGTGTTTTTTATGAACTAGCTTACTTTTTTATAGAATCTTAATAGATAAAATTATTTAATTGATATCATACATCTAAATTATAACATTCTTTGACATACTATTTTAGTTTATAGATGAAGTTAACCCATTTCCGCTAATATGCTGTTGTATACATGTATAAAAAAGGATAGAGACACGTAAACATATTAATAGGTTTGATTTTGAGATTAACATATTATTAATTTGTATTGGAATAAAAACACAACAAAAACACAAACATTTTTTTAAAACACCACATCATTCGACAACTGACCTTCTTTATACATGTAGGATTATGAATATTAAAAAAACAACAACAAAAACACAAATTATCTGTGATATGTTTTTCTATTGCTCATCTAACCGCATTTTTAGGGTGGGTTCGATCCCCAATAGATGCTTTGGTAGTTTAGCGCGGAGGAAGGTTGTCTAGTACTGGTGTAACTCTCCAGGAACGATGGTTAGGAAACTACCCGCCTATATGACTGAAATACTGTTGGTAAGGCGTAAAAATGAAACAAACAAACAAAAATTAGGGTATAACAATTCTATAATACTTTTTAATACTATAAAAACCCTGTTACTGTAGAGCAAATTCAATAAATATCAATAACAAATTAGCATTCTTTACCATAAAGAAGCGTGGGAAATAATATAAAATAAAATGTTATAACCCCATTTTATAGCCTTAGCCTATCCTAACACATTTTATCTGTGGCGATGTGATAGTGTTATTATATTGCTCAGGGTTTGGTAGAATCATTTATCAATGTATTAATGCTCTAATTAAACTAAAAGCTAATTTCATGTTCAAATACTACAAGGACACATCATAGAGCTTGTTTTGAAGAGAAAACATTATTCTGTAAAAACTTTGCATCCGGAGATATTTTGAAATATATTTCAATCAAAATAATTAAAATCTTACAGAAAATTTGAATTTTTCGTATTAGTAACATAACAAAGTGTACACTGTTTTATTAATGTTTCATATTATATACGATAAGAAGTTATTAATCATTTGTTTTTATCATTACATAGATATACTGATGAAATTGTTATTTTATATTATGAGTTATGTTAATAATGATTATCATTGATTTTATTTTACGTTTTCCCATTGTTGAACTTAGATACAAAAGAAGTATCGGAACAACGCTAGAATGTTCTAAGAAACTGATTGTCTGACAATATGGTTCTTCACACAACACTTGTCATTAATTATGTTATTAGTGGGGTGAAGTTCATCCAATAAAACTACAATTAACGTCCAATTTATTGCGCTTAAGCTTTTTAAAAATAAAGATTATTGATTTTGAATGAGTTTGTACCGGGCTAATACGGCAATCAATGATATATTTGTCCGATTAAGAAGATATTATTAACTCATATTTAAAGGTATGTTTTCTGTTTATATATTAACATTTTTGTACTACTTCGACTTATACAAAAGTGGTTGATATACCGAAGAATAGGGCCCGTAAGTCTCGTTTACTTTCACTTTCGATTTACCACTTCCGGGTACATCGGCAGACTTATTTACCGTTACGCATATAGGTAACCCGAAGAACTCGAGGGATATAGAAGTTAAATTTGTTTCGGTCCTCTTCAGATTTGAAGGAATGGATAGCACGGGTCAAAAAATGCAGGTAGGTCAATTATCTGACAGAAAAACGAGGGATTTATAGAGTTTAATAAAACTAGTTTATTTTCGGATAGTGACAATTGTTTCGGATGTTTTGTCAAGGTAGTGAATTCTAGTTGTTTAGCTTTTATTATTGTTTTAAAACTACTGATGTGAGAAATTAATTCAAACCATTTTAACTTATGAAATAAACAATGGAGAAACACTTTAATTCTAGTGTATATTAAAGTTATACACAATTCGGACATTGCACAGTAATTCGGATATTTTTTCCCTTCCATTTTATTCTTGTTCCTTTTTCAATTATATATACATGTTAATATGGTACCTAGCAAATTATGATTGAATTAAAAAATATAATTTTTGATTAAACCATTTCAGATGTAAAGACAAGGAGGTATATGACAAGTATAGAATATACAGTTGTTCAATATGGACCATTAATCAACTGTTTGCACTGCCTATGATCCTGAAATATCTATACATCAAAGGTAAATACATGTAAAATAATTGATTAATTTTTAGTTGAGATCGGAAAGATAAACAATTATCAAAATATATTATTATAATTTAATAACTTTTGGATTTCACTGCATGATAATTGATAAGTAAATAAAACATTAAAAATAGTCATGTTTCACATTCAAGAAGATCAATATTTTTGACTGTTATATATTATGTGTTGTTGTTTATCTTTAATGTTTATTTACTTCAAATATGAAATTTTTCTGTCAATCATGACCAGCTTATTAAATGTAATGTAAATATCATTTCTAGTGTCTTACACTTGTAACAACATATTTATTGATTTTTCATTCTGCAGATAAAAAGGGAAAAGATGAAAAAGGATTTGTCCATGAAGACCTTTATTGCAACTACCATCTTCCAGTTCCTTAATTTGAGAATGATATCAGAGAACACACAGTTACAGTGAAATATTAGTTTAATATAAGCCACTGAGAATAGTCAAATGTACTTTCCTGAAGAAGATGAATGACATCCAGCACAAAAATCTTAATGTATAAAGAGTATGATTTTATGGTGTTTGACACTATGATCTTGTTAACATGTTAATGTCACAATGATAGAAACAGAGTAAAATATCCACATGTCATTGCAGTTTTAAGTATTAAAACTAGATAATCTATATATACCAAAGCTGTTAACACACCAGAGATAAGGTTTTTTCATGGAATCACAGTATAGTCATATGACATTATGGACATTAAATGACTATGAAGTAAAGATTAGCAAACATATTATATAATTATCATCTACTACTAATATTGTGAGGTAATCATTGATAAGCTCACAAATTTGCAATCAAAGCTTTGATATCAAGCTGAACATTTTTCAATTAGAATATGATTTATAACTCTATGATAATTTGTTCATGTTAATTTTCAAAGTCTTTACATTTGTAAAAGGAAATATTCTTATTCTTGTATCAGTAGACATTCACAGTGTAAAGTTACATTGTCCAAATAACTAATAATAATCCCAAGTGCTTTCCTGAATTTTTTCTTCCACTGGAAAATCAGTGTGATATATATGCTAAGCAGTGCACTATAAATTGTGTAAAAATAAAAGTTTATTAAACTTATGAACTGTTTTTTGTTTCTACTATTTGGCATATATTTATAGCAGTGCTTGATCATAAGAGTTCATCTGCAAATAAGTGTCACTGTGTACTTTAATTCTCTAACAGCAATGTCATTTGAATTTTGTCTGTCCTGAAATCGAAACAGACACTATCTAAATAATATTGATGAAAAGTTCTTGACAGCTCTTCAATGACTACATTTACACATATGTACATGGACAGAAGTTAAAAGCATTGTGTGGTGCTTTTTTATTTTTTTTGAAACATTGACAATTTTGGAACAGTTCCAATGGGTATATTAATGTATCAGTGATGTAATTGTTTTGTATCAAGTGCAAACCCTAAGTTTTGCATGTATTGTATAGATAACTCACTTTTGGTCAAAAAGGTTCAATACATTATAAAACAGGTAATTTGAAACCCAAAGAAGTATATGGTATGTAATAACTACCCCTCTGATACTAAAATCTTCAAGGAATGCAGAATTGCAAGTCTTCTCCAATTAAGAGAGAGACTTGGGCTTACAAGGGCTAGCAAGCTAGTGTTTTGCTACAGAATACTCAACACTGATGAATTACATTAATATTGTTTACTCTGGTATTACTACCTGCCATGTACAATGCAAATCATGGCTTTTCTAAGAGCAGTGAAAGGCTATAACTGGAAGGAATTTTACACATCTTGCCTCAGAAACAAGTTTTTCTTTGAGATGATTTTTATGATATTTAAATAATGGTTAAAGATTACATTACTTTTACAATTGCAGTGATCATGGTGATAATATGAAATGAAACTCAATCAAGATAGAAACATTTTAATGCTGAACATTTATCTTTTTACCATTCCTGTTAATTTACAAGTCTATTTATAACAAATTTATCTTAACTGTTTTGAAACTACATGATGCCTGGTTGAAACTGTTTTGGGCAGCCATTTGCAGAAGATAAATTATCTTTGAATAATTAAGTTAATACAAAGTTACAAATGACAGGTTATTTATTTCTAATAAAGACAGGTTATTTATTTCTAACAAAGACAGATATTTTGTTTAACATTTTTACACTGACATATATCTTTGAAGTGTCTTCAACCTTAGTTTTTATTAGAATACAAACATTCAGTCAGACAGTTTACACAAGACATGGAGCTTTAAGAAGCTTTAATTCAGTCAAAATCTGTAATGGACTGCCATGTCTCTACCACTATGTACTCCAAGACTGTGTATGGACATTTCATTTCAACTATGCCTGGTGGTATCACTATTTGATTTCTAATCTGATGGTGAACACTCCAAAATAAATCAAGAGCCATGACAAGTACTCAAGATCAACCATGAAATCACATACCTGTATATAAAGAAAATTTATCATGAATTGAAAGCAATAATAATTGGTCAGCTATAAATTTCAATCATTTTCATATTGTCATGAATAGAAAATAATGTTGAAAAGGAAGAAACACTTCTTTGGTGTCCTAGTTTTGTAGATTTGCTTTGACAACTGATCTTTAAAAAATGTGATAGTGACTAAGTTCTTTTAACCATTTACTGAACATGATTTAACTAAAAAAATATGACCCACTTACTTGAGAAAAATACTTTAAACAATATTTAACATGAATTAACTACATATGCCATACTGTTTGTTTATTTAGCTACACTGTAATTATTTACAAAAACGAGAACATTATATGTTATACAATAATATTTATTTTTCATTAATGCAGTTTAAGTAGCTTTAAGTATATATTTCTTACCAAAACGATTTACCAGCAGAGCATGCATGTGTATTTACAATGGATACTGACGTCTTTCATCTCACCACTGTCTAAATATCTACAGGAGCAAAATATTTCATTGAATTTTATGACAATTTAAATTGGTTATATACAGCTTGACTGTTTGTGCTTTATAAAGATAATAATTATAAATAAATAATATTTTCAGTTGGAAGAAAATATATTCAACTAAAACACACTGATAATCATATTGAAACGTTTATCCGAAATATGCGCTGTCCGAAATTTCTAAACATTATATACTTCTGAGAGATAATCAGGTAGCGCTATAGAAAATGATAAAATCAAATTCACCAGTCTGGTGTCAGATGCGAATGATGTTGTATCAAAAAAACAAATTTATTAGATTTACATGGAAATGAAAATATTACAACATTTATTGGGATAAACTGAATTTGAAATGACACACCCACCTGAAGATTATACGAAGTTGTCTTTCATTGATACTTTTTCACAAGATGAAAACCATTTGCATTTCGTTACAAAACAAAAAACTCTGCCAATTTCCACATATCATTTGCTTTTCCATGTAAGTTTTACTTTCCCACCGGCATACAAGTATTACCCAATATAGATAAGCAATGTTGTTGATATTTGTTTGTACCCGGAAGTGCGAAATATCGTGAAATCTCGCAAGTCACATGACGAGACTTACATACCCTATTGCACGGCTTTACGAATATGTAATTCACTTTAAATGTTTGAAATAAGAAGTAATGTTATCTCAGCGATATGATTTTAGGTATTAGATGCTATGATGTAAACATCATTTTAAGAAAGCGAAAAAATATATATTTAATTTTAAAAATGAAATTGTTTTTATTCTGAAATGTGATTGTTTAAGGTTTATCTTTCTGACAACATTTTTTTCAGTCGTCATTAATTCAAATCAAAGAAGCAAATATAACTACATTTCCTTGGAAAAGTGTGCATTTATGTAATAATACAATTAACACGAACATTTAACTTCACTAGATGAAGTCAATGCGTTGCTTTTGTATAATAATTTGTGAACAATATTGTTAGTACAAATGTTTCTGATAGTTGAATCGAAATAGCGCTAATAAATGCAAAAGCAAAAGTAAACATTTATTTGCGAATGCGCATGCTAGATAAAATGACTAAAACATAATGCTGGTTTAAACTTTGCTTTTCCTATTAAACAAAGCAAAGCATGCGATGCTTGGTAACAAATTAAAACTAAGTTATCTACAGCAGAGAGTGTACACGAAAAAAATGACGTCTTTTACAACAATTGAATTTGTCTAGAGCGACACATCTCGATAACATCCTATATCATTGGTACTGCTCTGGAAGGGTGTCCTGCAAGAAATGGCTAGAGCTTATCCTTGTTAACAAAGGTGTTTTAACATTTAAACATTAAGTCACATAATAATGAATACAAATAGTGTGTTTGGTATTTTGTGGTATTTTTAGTTTTAACTAATATTCCTTCTTGAATAATGTTGAATCACCCTGAGGATATGTTGCCTGCTTTTTAACTTGTCCTATGACGTCTTATCTGTGATATGCAGGCTTCATAACCTCTGACCCCCTTTCAAAATTCCATTTTATTTAGTTCCGCCCATTGTTTTCTCGTTTAGGGCACACGCTTTTTATTACTTGGGGACCATACGCCGCTTTTCATGGAATGGCACGGAAGTGCCACATTAAAGGTTCCACGATAACCGCCGTATGAATACATCTGCGGATGTTTCTAAATTCAAAATTTTACCATTTCATGTTTAAATGTTGAATTCTGCTTAAGCCGGTGCTAGGGGGCGTGGACGGTAGTTTGCACATTACAGTTTCGTCCATGAACAGGCTCAACCAAACCGAGTCTGCAACATTTTCAATTTTTGATGTGTTGGGCATTCTTAAGGGATTCTTATTTTCTCTATTTTAAAATTAATTGCTAAAATATGATATTTACATAACTAATTAAATATTCTAGGTGATTGACAAATTAATATATTCTCGTATTTATTGTGTTTTTAGCTGAGCCAGGTTTATCAATTGCTCATTTGGCAGTTCCAGTGTTATAATTTTAGTATAGTATAATAATTTTAATACAATTATATTGCCTGGTTTTCAATTTGTATTTTAACAATTGTCATTATACGAAGATTTCACACCACTTGGTCTCTTTCAAAAAGTACAACAAAATTACTGTTTTTAGTTCTGTCCATTTTTTTCTTGCATTGGACATACACACTTTTGTTTACTCGGGGCCCAAACAATCGGTGATGAAAGCGCAACATCGTAAGTTTTGAAAAAGCTTATGGACACATCTGCAGGCACTTTGTAATTTTACATCAAATACTAAAAATAGATAAATACAGAATCCCTAAAGAAAGCCCAACACGGCAAAATTGAAAATGTTGCAGGCTCGGTTTGATTGAGCCTGTTCATGGACGGTGCTGGAAAGTGCAAGTTACCGTCCACCCCCTAGCACCGGCTTAAGCAGAATTCAACATTTAAAACATGAAAAAATAGTAAAAATTTTTTGAATTTAACAAACACCCGCAGATGTGTCATACGGCGGTTATCATGGAACCCTTCAATGTGACAATCCGTGCCATTCCATGAAAAGCGGCGTATGTCCCCATGTATAAAAAGCGTGTTGTCCGAAAACGAGAAACAATGGGCCCGGAACTAAATAAAATGGAACTTTAGAAAAGGGGATCAGAGGTTTATCGAATTCGTTGGTTCCAGAAACGGATTTCTAGAGTGATTAAAAATTAAAAGCTTTTATGCCCCTCCTTGCATCAAAACGGACATTTCAACAGCCCCTTCAATTAGAAA